CATCTATACAGTACAACAGAGCAAAAAACAAAGCCACCCCGAGGACAGCAATGGCACTCACTGTTGTCCGCAACACCGAGCAGCGTTGTCCTTCAGCTTAGGGCTCCCATCTGTTTTCCCCAGGTCCTGGCCGGGTCTATACGCCCGGGTTACGTTGGACGGCTGTGGGAGGGAAAGAAGCCCTGTGTGAGTCAGGGCTCTCTTCACCTGTCACCTCTAGGTTTGCATCTGTAGTCCCAGCCCCGGGGCACATGGTAGACATGTAGGCTCATCTCAGCTCCTGGGGCCATCCAAAGGTGATCAGGAGGACAACGTGCACCATCAGGACCAGTCGTCACTTCGTGTGTCCATTACTTCTGTTTCTTCACAGGATTTTCCTGCTGGGGTGGAGGCTGCAACGCTTCCCGTCCCCATGCTCCAGCAGGAGCACCAGTCCTGGCTCCACACTCAAAGGCTTCTCGCTAGGACAGAGTCTCCAGCTCTGCAGCCTAGCCCACAGTACGCAGGACCTACAGCACACATGTAAGCGACCGTACCTTGCTGTACAACAGCTCTGCGGGGCAGGCCGTAGCTGTCTAAAGCCTTTCTGTACATCTCCAATAATCCACATTCAGCCATACTGGACAGTATCTCCTCCCTTCTTTGGCGCTAGGGGCAAGGCTCTCCCAGCCCTAGTGCTGCCTTATGTAGGGTCTAAACCCACCTTAAGAACTGGCCTTGGCACACCCAGTACAACGTTCTGCTGTGGGGACCATGTGAAGCTGCCACGAGACAGCGGTATCCTCTCCGTTAGCCCTTGAAATCACTGGGATGCTCTGAAGTCCAAACATAAGGTTTCAAGAGGCATATGGCCCAGGAGGCTTGGAAAAAACAGGCAGCGCCCGGGGGTGATGGGACTAAGTGTCTGGTCAGTTAAATGATGGATAATTGATCGAGATCATAATTGGAGATGGTGGGTTTGCACATACTGAACTCAGATCAATGGTTTTGGTTTGGGGATGACTACACCTGGGCTGCTTTATCTACAGTCACTACAGTGATGCTTGCAGCACCCATTGCCGTTCTTTCACACTTGTCCATTGTTTTTCTGCTCTCTGGAAGAGGTGCTTCTATAAAGTCCATCTATGTTTCAGGCAGGAGCAGCCATCGTACTGTGTTCAGTTTTGGGTCCCCCACTGCAAGAAAGACATTGAGGCGCTGGAGCATGTCCAGAGGAGGGCAGTGGAGCTGGTGAGGGGTCTAGAGCACAAGTCTTATGAGCAGCAGCTGAGGGAGGTGGGGTGGTTTAGCCTGGAGAAAAGGAGGCTGAGGGCAGACCTTATCGCTCTCTACAACTACCTGAAAAGGAGGTTGTAGAGAGGTGGAGGTCGGTCTCTTCTCCCAAGTATCAAGCAATAGGACAAGAGGATATGACCTCAAGTTGCACGAGGGGAGGTTTAGATTGGCTATTTAAGGAAAAATTTCTTGACCAAAAGGGTTGTGAAGCATTGGAACAGGCTGCCCAGGGAAGCGGTTGAGACACCATCCCTGGAGGTATTTCAAAGACCTGTAGATGTGGTGCTTAGGGACATGGTTTAGTGGTGGACTTGGCAGTGCTAGGTTTACGGTTGGACTCGATGATCTTAAAGGTCTCTTCCAGCCAAAACGATTCTATGATCAGTTAGGCGGGTTTGCCTGCAGAGAGTGAAAGTTTCTCATCAGCTCTCCCAACTTCCTCTCCTTATACCACAAGCAGGCTGGTGCCATGCTACGTGACTGCCTGCACCACGGTCACGGCTACCTCTGAGACCTTCACTGTAGCAAATCAATCACGACACGAAGCTGCTGCTGTGGCTGTCCCTGCTACAGCATGGCACCCAGCTTTTGCATAGTCTGTGGGTGTTAGGCCAGTGGGCAGGTCTGGCAAGGTTCCTGCTGGGGTGAAGTCTGGGGTCCTGGCACACTTCTGGCTCCATGAAGTCTGAGGTGGGGACTAGGAGTTCAAGGGTCTCAGGGTGAAGATGCAACAACACTCAGGGCAGAGACAAGCCGAGCTGCTCCTTCAAAGAAAAGGGACAGCAGAGGAGACTGCAACCCAAAACTGGGAACATCGGGGAAAAAATGGCCTTAAAGAGAGCAGAGGAGAGCCACGGAAGACCTCAGGCCTCTCCCAGAACTTCTCAGTGACTGTCCTGCTGGAGCTGTCGGTAAGGCACGGGCAGCGTCCCATGTCCCACGGGAGGTGTGAGGGGCTGTGGGGCAGGGGTAGCAATACCCCTCGCCTTCGGGAAACCTGCCCTTTGGGGAGACGGTGTCAGCTGAAGGCTGGGAACACCCTAGGGAGGCACGAGAGGGATTTTAGTGGGATAAATCCAGCTAAAAACTCAGGGTAGAGGGACAGAGGAGCCCTGGGAGGGCTTGGCTGCAAGGACCTGTGCTGCTGGAGGACAGAGGCCCCCGGCAGGATGGAGGAGAGGGCAATGGCAGCAGGTACCTCCATGATCAAGTCCCTGCTGTGTGGTGGCCAGCAGCAAGGGACCCTGCCGGGGATGAGGCTGCAGCTGGAGGGGCGGCAGGGAGGCAGCTTCCCTTCGAGTTTGGGGGGTGCCGGAAGCCTGGGAAGCCACCAGCAGCTGCTAGACCACAGGCAGCCCTGGTAGGACTGAACCCACGAGGTAAAACCCACCCCAGGGAGGCTCTGCTCCCCTGGCTGCCCCCGGCAAAGCAGCAAGGAGCAGCATGACTCAGAACGGGACGTGCGTGACCCGGGGACGACCCTGATGCCCCAAACTGCTGAAAGTTCATCGCCGCTTCACCTCCCTCAACAGTTTCACTTGCCGACCAAGCATGAAAATTTCCCACCCATTTCGCAGAGCAGAGAAGCTTTTACCTTCACGCAGAAGGCCCCGAAATTTGAGTTCCCGGGGCCAGCAGGATGCTGAGCAGGGAAGAGGAGCTCGAGGCCACCAGGCGGTCAGCAGCAGCTAAGGTTTGCATGCTTGTTTGTTTGTTTGTACGACTCGAGGGCTCTTTTGGGGCCGGAAGGAACCCCTGGGTTAGGAACACCCTCATCCCATCCCTGGGAAAGGGTGGTGGGGCTCAGCTGCTGCAGGGAAGCATCTGCCCCCAGCACTCTCCTTCTTCCCACACCTTCCGAAACCTGCCCTCCCTCCCAAAACTGCACCCCACCCATCGCCTCCAGAGCAGAAACCCACTCTGACGCTGCCTCCGGGGTCCTCAGCTGCAGCTTCCACACCCCAAGGGTTAGACACGCATAGCAAAGCCTGGTAGTAAAGTTTTCCTTCGGCATTTTTTGGAAGGGATAAATCCCATCATTGGAAACAGGTTATGCGTACGGATCCAAACATGGGAAGGACGTGTGGGCGAGAAACAACTGGTCCATCCCCTCGCTGTATGTGGCTGCGCCTTTATTTAACAGAATTTCAGCTTCCATTCGCACTGAGCTCAACAAAGAACCCCCAAAGCCTTCTTACACCTGTAGTAAAAAATACATACATCTTTCAACATTTTTTTCTCTAAGGAAAAGTTAAAAAAATACCAAAAAAATAATCCTCATAAATGTATATGAAACTAGAAGCCCATCTGCTTGGATATACCCTATTAGCTAGAAAAGCATCAACCTTGCGGAAAGCTCGTGTTTATCGACACGCTTTAATGATTAACGCACAATGAAAACACTTTCTTCCTGCAAAAAAAAAGTACATTACCAGGACGCAAAACAGGTTAAATGTGATTATTTAAAAGAAAGCCCCCTGAGCACTACAACTTGGTGACTGAGGACTGGGAGGTGCAGGTTATGGTCAGGCAGGACAGGCGATGCTGTGTCCCCGGGAGGGGACGAGCGAGGGGGAATGGCCATGCAGTGCCCTGCGGCCTCAGGCACCATTTTGGCACCAACACCGGCGTGCCAAAAGCCCTATAGAAATTGCAGGGTACATTACAGCATATCGTTTTTGGGAGCAGCTGCCTCCACCAACCTGAAGCCTCAATCCAAATTTCGTTAATGTTAGGTTTGACACTTAATTACTCTCTGTCTTACTGGCCCCAGGCTAAATATATTTCCTCACCGTTAGCAAAGATATCAGCGCGTAACCGGCAGTCTGTTGAACCATGGGTTTGGTTTTTTGGGGTTCTGTTTTACAATGGCTACGCACCACAGTATGGCAAATATCTCTAGGACAGGCAACAAGCGTCGCTAATGTCCCCGAATTTTTGTTGTAAGGTGAGATTTGTCAGTGCAGGGACTGCACAAAATGCCAGTATCACAATAGAGGCCATAGCAAATAAATTGCACCTAATTTCTCCTTACATCACACAGCTAAAATATAGGAGAAAGAGAGACCTAATTCTGTAATGACCATGATGATCATTTTTATGACCGTGAACGATGAGTTTTCCTTTGCAACACAAACCGCCTGCGCGGGCACAGAGAGCAGCATTTCCCTGCTGCAATAAACCAGTGGAGGAGCTAAAGGCTGTTCTTCTTCACAGCAGAGGCCATCTGGTGTAGGTGCGAGAAGGGCTCCCGAGCCCGGCCACCTCCATGGGAGACCCCGGCTGGACAGCAGATGGGGGCCGAACCCTCTCCTGCTGCTTCCTATGGATGGGATGGTGGTTCATCCTGCTTCATCTGCCTCTGCTGCTGCCGTCGCTGGACCAATCTTCTACGATTCTATGGTTATCACCTCCCTGTGAAGCTTGTTATTTCAGATTGTGGTCTAAGCTGCAGATGGGCCGGGTATTTACAGCTGTCACAAAAATAACTTTTATCCTCTATCAGTTCTGCTTGCAACAAGCGTGGCTCCATTTTGCTGCCCTGTGCCAAAGGTTTCCCTTCCTTTCAGCCAGCAAGCCCCGGCTGGGTCCCACACTGCGAGGATGGGGCAGGCGAGCAGCTGGGATGGGGCAGCCCTCCCCGCTCCTCTGAGACAGTCTGTGGGGTATACAGATGGTTTCCAAAGAGTTTGGTGCTCCTCCTGACAGGAGACGGTGGGACTACCTTACAAGAGGACTTGGCAAGGAGGGGGCATAACCGAGGAGGTCAAATGGGTGCTGAGGGTCAGCGAGCTCCTCACCCGCCGTCTGCCCAGCATGGCAAAGGACCAGTTTGAGCTGTGCTCCTGGCTGTCACAGGCGGAGGAGAACTGCTCTTGGCCCCCGCTGAGGCAGCAGCCACCGCTCTGCATCACCCTGCCCAGCGCCATCCTGACCCGCTCCCCAGCAAAGACGTAAAGGAAGGGGTTGAGGCAGCTGTGGAGGAAGGCGATACTCTGGGTGACCTGCAGCCCAATGTCCAGCCGGTCGGCAGCCTGACAGCTGTACGCAACCCCAGTGTAAGCATTGATGGCTTTGACCAGCAAAAGAACATTGTATGGGAACTGAGAGAGGAGGAAAGCGGTGATGATCATGGTGATGATCTTCAGGGACTTCTGCTTTTGGGATCTTTTGGCTTGCAGGAGGGTGTTGATGATAAGGGCATAACAAATAACCATGACAACGAGTGGGAGGAAGAATCCGATAGTGACTTTCAAGGCCAGGACAGTAACCCTGAAGATCATGCTGACGTTTGGCGGGTACGTAATTTTGCAAACTGTTACGTCACCTACCCGTGTGCTTTGGCTGTACATGATTTCTGGGATGCACAGGCTCATGGACATCAGCCAGACGGCCAAGCATATGAGTTTACTGCGCAGGAGCCGCCTTCGCTTAGAAGTCTTAGCTTTCGTTGCCTGGACAATAGTGATGTACCTGTCAAAGCTGATGCAGGTTAGGAACAAGCTGCAGCCATAGAAGTTGATCTTATACATGCTGTTGACGACTTTGCACATGAAGTTCCTGAAGATCCAGCCGTCAGAGGCAGCCTTAGCCCAGAAAGGAAGGGTGAAGAGAAGGAGCAGGTCCGCAATGGCCAGGTGCAGCAGGTACCGATCCGTCATGCTCCTCCTGAAGCGGTATTTGCAATAGACGAGCACGACCAAGGCATTTCCCACCGTGCCCACAGAGAAGATGAGCCAGAAAAACACTGGCAGGAAGGCTCGAGCAAACTGCCTGACCTGCCTCTTGTCGCACACGAAGTCTGTGCTGTTCACCAGGTCTCCATACAGGGACAGCCCTGCGCTGTCATTCCTGTAGTAATCCAGGCTGGTCTTGACAGGGTGGGTGGCCTGTAGTGGGACAGCAGGTAAATTTATATTGAGCAGTGGCTCAGTAAAGCGTAAATCCCACCCTTTCCACCAGACATAGTCAAAGATCCCCAGTATAATCCATTTTAGATGGGAATGGGCAAAGGCTGCCAGCGAAACACAGCACGCCCCAGACTGCTTGAAGCATGTGGCACAGCAGAGACTTATAAAAATGACCTGTTGAATAACAAACTCTTTATGAAATAGCAGTTCACAGCCTCCAGCCAACTCCGGTTATTAAAATGGCAGGTGGTGAGAGCATATTATCTGCCAGGTCATTCAAAACACTGGTGGTTTGGCAGCTTCAAATACATAACAAAATGCAAAATCCTCAACTTGGAACGAGGTGAGGAAGAAGGTTTTGTATTAGTGCTGCGGTGGGATGGCACCGTCAGCTGTTGAGTGGCAGAAAACTGATGGAGGCAAAGAGGTGGTGTGGGGGAAGAAAAACGGAGATTACACAGCACCATAGCTGTATACTCACTATGCTTGCAACTGCCATCTTCAGCCAGATCTTTCCTCAGTCTTGAAGAAGACACGGTAACCTAGGGAGAAGAAAGATGGGGGGAAAACAACTGATTCAAAACAGCTTTGAAGTAGAACTGTGACTCTTTTCTTTCTTCTTCTTCTTTTAATAAAAGCCTCAACTCTGAAACGAGTCTGGCCGGGAAACAAACAAACCACACAGAGATTGATGTCGCTGGTTTGAATTATTTAGATGTTTCCATTTTACAAATTTACATTTAGCCTACATTAGGTCTTTGGCTTCTCTATGGCACTGTGCTGATTAAGTCCTTTGACGTACTAAAGTCACTGCGATCTCATTTTTAATAAGATGTAGAGTCCCCGATGCACACATTAAAAAAGAAAGTAATCTGAAAGCACCACATCTTCCAAGATTCGTGAGAATAAATGAAACGTGTCTCTTAAATCGTCTAGCAACTAACAAGGAAAAGTACCTGCCTTTAGTATTAGTTTGCAGTGTCAAAATATTTGCATCCTCTGCAGTGACTGACAATCTCTGCCTGCGACATCTCTTTCTTATCCGTGAGTTTAAGCGCAATGCTCATTGCTGTTGGCCTGCAAAGCAGATCACTATGCCCCAGTAAACAAGAAGATACTACTTTTTCCTGCTGCAGATTGTTCTTCGAGTCAGTCTGCCACCGCAAAAGGTAGCTGAGCCTGGTGGGCTCGGCGTGAGCCACGCTCTCCTAAGTCTTCAACACGCTCCCGCACCAGCCCGCCTGTGCTAGTGCCTGGGGACGAAGCCAGGGGACAACACGAGGTGGGACCTATGGGCGCTACCATAGACCTCCAGTTAGCACAGACCTTTCGCCCAGACGTCGTCGCCTTCAAAAGCAGGTCACGCAACCGAGACGTTGCCTCGCAGAGCCAAACCTCTCACCACACCTGACTAAAAACACCTTCCGCGGTACTATTTGGGGCAGCGTGCCGTTCGCCTCCCCAGCCTGCCTCAGGGTTAGCTGCGTTAGCAACTTCGTCAGCAAAGCCAGTTGACTGTAAGCGGCTACTTTTAGGGACAGCCAGTGTGCCTGCAGCTGCGTCCCGGTGTTTGTGGCACCCTCTGGCCCGAACTGCCTTTGATCCCTTCACCGCTCTCGGTGCTGAAGCAAACGCTTGCAGAGAATATTTGCAGAGCTTTGGAATCTGGTCAAAAAAGTGCAATGCAGTTGTTTTCATCTATTTAGAAATTATTTTGTTCAGAAAGCACAGATTGGGGGCTTATCCTTCCAGTTTTTATCTTCGTGCAGCAGCTTTAATGAATCTGAATTGTTTTGGAGCAAGGTTGGCATCATGAGATCTTTGCAATAAAAGAACATTATTCTAGACACAGAGTTTTTGTTTAAAAGTAGATTGAAGAAATAAAACCAGTCATAAATATGTGCTCTTAGTTTTTAAGTTTTCTATCAAGACACAGAACTACACCCAGAATTATGCATGTCCCTAGAGCTTCAAGCACAGGTATAAATTTAGCACTTGGCTTTTAATGATGCCAGCTGTACCCTGTGCATAGTGGCTGAATTTCTGATGCAGAAAACTCAAAACGTGTACTTTTTTATGTGACTTCTTTTCAAAGCAGACAACCAAGGAAATAGCCACAGCATACTAACGCTACAGCTCAGTGCAGAATTTAGACCGATAAAAATATGTGAGCAGACTGCAAGGAACCACCTGTATAACCTATAAATCAGATCTACCACACATAAATAAAAGATGCAGAAATTAAGACTGGCCATAACCACACATATGCGAATGGTGTTGGGTAGGTCTGTGGAAAGGGAAGACCTCTCATACCATCATTTTTCTGCTCATGTGCATCACATAGCACTGGGCAAATCAGAGGCTGCTCCTGGGCCACGGTTCAACACAGCAAAGTCTCTGGTGGCAACAGCCCCACAAGGGGTTTTCCTTGTCCCCATCCCCTGTCCCCATCCCCGTCCCCATCTGGCTCCAGCCCAGGCAGCAGCTCAGCCGAAATCTGAGCTTGATTCCCACCATCCAAGAAGGAAAGCGTCACGACCTCAGCCGCAGTGCAGAGCAGGCAGCATGCTAACCACAGCGGCCGCCTTGTGCGGGGCTTTTGCTTTGTCATTGCTGCTGCGCTCGTTAATGGGTTGTATTAATAAGAACAATAATGTAGGGCTAGATACAATGAGCTTTCATATGTCCTAGCCAGCACCTGATTTTTTTCTACGGTGAACTTCACAGCACACGGAAAGCTGACAAGCAACGGACCGTCCTTCGAGACGAGGAGGGGCTCCTTATTAATCAAAATCAGTTTGACCCCTTTTTGCTTATTTTGGGGGGGGGACGGGACACACAGTTTCAGGAATTGCTGTGCTAAGCGCATGACTCATCCTTCCCGGCTACGTGGCAATGTCAGACCTGGTGCGTTCCACCTGCTGCGATGCTTCGTTCAGAAACTCCTCAGCGACTTGGAATCTCCAACCAGCAGAGCCCCGTCCCCATCACAACGGCGCAAAATTTGGCTATTGAGGCTGAGACCTGGCACGTACAACCCAGAGGTGACTGTGGCCTGCGGCAGTTGGAGAGGTACTGTTTTCTCCATGGTACCCATTTCCAAAATTGCAGAGCTGCGCATCCCCAGGGGGGCTTTTTAATGTTATTTTCTTTTAGCTGTCAGACCTACCTTGAATCAAAAGGTCATTGTAACTGGGTGAGTTTGATGGCAAATGAGCTTTTTTTTTTTAAAAAAAAAAAAAAAAAGGCAATTTGTAATTCAGTTTCCTTTCCACAGAGACTGTACATGGGAAAGACAGACATGAATAGCGGAGGAGCGGACTCACCTGGGGACGGTCACTGCAGTGGGGTCAGCCCAGCCGTCGCACGTCGCACCCAGCAGCCGCACTGCTGCATGCAGTGTTTGTTCTTTGCACTCTCAATTAAGCTTTGGGCTTTTTGTAGGCCGAGGTGGGTGTGTGCTCCCCGAACCCCAGCCTAGTTAGCCCTGTCACAGGCTGTTTTCTCTGTGGTTTGCATGGTTTAGGTGGCTCAAACACAGATGGTAATCTTCTCTTTTTTATTTTTTTCTTTGTTTTATTTTGTTGTTTTGGTTTTTTTTCCTGGTAAGCTCTTTTGATAGCAAAGGGAAGACATCTCATGCCATCATTTTTCTGCTCATGTGCATCATATAGTACTGGGCAAATCAGAGGCTGCTCCCAGCGCAGCCGTGTCCTGCTGGAAAACGCTTTCACTGCGGAAAAAAAAATAAATCCCTGAACAAGAGCTGGATCCCTCTGGGGAGCCAGCAGCGTCCCCTGGGGAGGCTGGGACGGGAGTGAGGAACCAGGTCTAGTCCTGCCCACTCCGTCCACAGGCGCAGTTCCCCACGGCTGCCCACCAAGGCTGCAAGCGAGCGGGGGCCGGGATGGCAGGGTCTGCGATGGCAGCGTCTGCGTGACACCCCGCAGCACCAGGTGCTTTGCCAGCGACAGCGAAATGGAGCAAAAGGAAAGTACCGCCACCTTCAAGAGGAAAAGCCAGGCTGCTCCTGCCACAGAAACTGGGGAGGCGCAGGGCAGGACTGCAGACAATTGATTGCATCTGCTGGTGGCACATCTTACGTGACAACCATCCAGAAGACCGTGGCAGGAAAGATTTTTGAAGAGGAAGGCAGTGAGAAGTGGTTAATAAATATATGAACTCGCGCATCTTTTGTCTTCTTCCTGGCAAGCTGGCATGCAAATTTCGGTGATTTAAATTCCCCTCTCTGCAGGGAGCCCAAGCACTGCCAGGCCACAGGGTTTTACTTAAATGCTGGGTGGTGCTCACCTGTGACTGATGCTCATTCCACTCACACTTCAAGAAAATTTTCACATCACAGTTCAGGCTCAGTTCCAATTATGGAGAAAACAACAATTCGGAGTAGGTTTCGGGTCAGGCTCAGCTGTCACTTGCTGCTGAGCCATGCTGTTCCAGCGCCAGTAGCGTGGCACCCCCTTCCTAGGGGAAGGAGCCCAGGTGAAAAATCCCTGCTACGGTGTCTGCATGTCTTTAATAATTAGTTGTCACCCTGAAACTCTTCCTGAAAGAGGCGTAGGTTTGTATGCGATGATAGCTCTGCACGCCACGCAGCCTCTCTTGCCTCCTGGACCCCCAGCTTGGAAAACAGAGGTGGGGGAGCAGCTCTTAGCTAAACCATAAGGCGTCTGCTAATGAAAATATAGGTGTGAAATCTCAGGCATAGCCTCTGGGCTCAGGCATGGGTTCCTCTGAGCTGGCAAATGGCTGCCTGACAGCTCAGCCAATTAATTACTCCTAATTCAAGCTACTTTGGCCCTCGGTGTAATGCAAGGTGATTCAGCCTTGGGAGACCTACCTTAACTGCAGCAGGGTAAAGGCATGCCCATGGGCAAAGCCTCTGATGCAAAAGGTCTTCACATCCTTTGGTCTCTCCATGAACCTGAGCCCTCACCTTCTGGATTTAAGTGGCTTTAATTAGACTGAGCTTAATTCTCCCTAGAAGCAAAGTAGTAAGTATAATGTAACCTACACACTTCACACAGCCGGTCCTAAAAGTCCCTGGGCAGATAAGTCTCCAGGCCAGAACACAGGCGGCTGCTCATCCTGTCGGTTATCTTTCTGCCACATGCCATTTATTAAGTGTCACTGGCAACAATGGTATTTTTGCCCCCGCCAGTGGGAACAGAAGCAGAAGAACAGCACGAACATTACCAATCCTCTTGCCAAATTTCTCCCAAGCCAGTTCCCTATTTGCATCCTCGTCCAGTGCTGTCCACAGTTAATTCATTCCTAACCAGAATGGAGATGGTGCAGTCAGTTCTTGCAATAGCATCATGCATCGTGACATAACTTGTGATTTCCCTCCAGCTCATACCGTTACAAAACTAAGCATCTCTGTTTTCCTCACAAATATATTGCTTCCACGCTCACCTAGAGAACTTGCAAGTGTGACATTTTTTTGTTTGTTTAAAGTAAGTGGGAAAATGAAAACCACCAGCATTTCTTATTTCTCTTCTTTTTAATTTCAGGGTGTTTAATTTAAAGCACAACCTGGGGATGGTTTCTTAAGCTCCTCGTTTAGTGCAGAGCCGTTCTCAGCTTGATGTGCTGATCAGGTGCTGGAAAGATTTTGCAGAAACAGAACAAAACTTGGGGTCACACCCTGTGCTGAGGCTGACTGAGAAGTTTCCTTTTTTTCACGGTGAAAACTGCACTGTGCTTGCATTCGATCTGCCTTTTAATATACCTATTTTCCTCTCCCCAAGTAAAAGGGGAACATTAACCTGCTTCTCTCCGAGCAGGCTATTTTACAGGTTCAACAACCCCTCACCTCAGCTGCTTTGTTTAGGAGAGGCCACGGCCACGATTCGCCGTCCCCTACGAGGAGGATATTTGCGCTCAGTGAGACCAGTGCCTCTCGTATGCAAGCAAACCATGTTATCTAGGAACTTTGTATTGATCAAAACACTTGAGGCGAGGCCTAGGAACACAAGACTGGACATGACAAGTCACCTCAGCTGCTCCTTGTTTCCCCAAAGTGAGGCAGGACAAAGTACCTGGGCTA